GCCTGGATGAGTTTGAGGCCCCTGCGCCTCGTCATTGGGCGGCTCCGTGCGATCTGCTCGCGGGGCATCGGCATTGTCTCCCCGCTCCGGGCGTGCGCAGGGACTGCTGTTTCCTACCCAAGCTGACTTCCCCTCTTGCGCCAAAAATGGTGCTGGTTCTGAGCTCCCCCATCATCCCCACTGAGCCACTGGGCTGCCTCAGACAGGGAATCAGCAGTGCCCGGGCCTTGTTCCGTGTCCCCACCCCTGCACACCAAGGCATACCTTTGGTCCAACCTGTGTTATTTGGGGCCAGATAAATGCGAGGCTGGGGTTTAGGGCTAATTCCAGGGGAGCAGAGGCAGAACTTCTTGCACCCATTGTTGCTGCACTGGTAGGTATAAGCAGATCTCTCTTGCCAGCGCTGTGTTAGGTGCTGCACTTGTGATCTGCCCAGCAAGATGACTCCAAAGGCCATTGAAAGGTGAAAACAAGCCCGGTTGCTTCCTGTATCCCTGGCTGACATCGGACCTTGCCTAGAAAGGGGCCATGTTTAGCAGTGAAGGAGGTGGTTTCTAGGGTTCCATGTGACTTAACTGTCTTCTTGATGGTCCATTGCCCTACTATAAGTAACTGTTTCCTCTGAGATAGGACTGCGTGAATCTTGCTGGAGGTGAGTGGCTGGCAGTTATCTCCCTGTGGTGGGAAGGAAGGGGGTGGCAGGGATCAACCTTGAATTAAGACTATAGGAATGCTGTACAAATCAGGGCTCATAGCAGCAACTAGGGAGTGACATGAAATAAAACTGCATACTCTGCTATAACTGGCTATCTTGTAAAATTGTGATAGGGACATTACTCAGACATGCCAAGGAGGTTGATTTGGGCCTAGATGGCTGCTATAACTGAAGAACTATTTTACTTTGTTCATAGGGAATCCTAGTTCAATCCAATGCCCTTTTCAAGTAGCTTGTTCCCTAGACCCATCTTTAAAAGCTACAGATAGTCAAAGTGACCGTCATAAAACAAGTCAATGGTCTTGTTTTATGTAAGTAGTCCATAGCAGTGTAATAGAAGTGACTTCACTCAGGTATCTCAAGCTTTCTGCGTGAGCTGTGAGAAAAATCTACACATAGCATATAGAAATATGGTGTTCTCTGGGGCAAAAGACAGGGGAGAGGGCAGTTTAAATGCCTATCATTCCAGTGTATTACATGAAGAACGGTCCTTATCAATGAGCTAGGAAGCCAGAATATCAAATAATTGCCTAACTCTTAACACTAGTCTGAAATCTAAAGGTAAGAGCTGTTCTGTTTCACTGCTGTGGGTGGCAAGATGGAGCTAAGACAGTAGGAGTCATTTTGCCTTCCAGGGTTTAGGCCCAGTGGACGTTGCTGGCTGAAAGAATCTGGTATTGCATGCACGGAACCTGGGCATCTACAGCGATATCCAGAGACATGCTTAAGAAACATACATACCCACTGTGACTTTGAAGCTGGCTGCTAGAATCACTGCAGGCAGCTGGCACAGTCCCGTCTTCATGTAATACTAGTATTTTTTGCCTTCCCATATTAGGTCACTTGTAGATGCAGAATCAAGGATGCCTTTGTACTGCCTATGCTAGGCATTTATGCTTTTATATTGCAAGCTGGCTATTTTGATTATTGTTTAAGAAAAACTGAGCAAGTGAAAAGTAATTTGTTTAAAGCATTTCGCAAGAAGGTGTGACAGCAGCCAGCTTGTGATGCAAGAGTCCTAGTGTCTAGCAGCAGCATCCAAGTGATATTTATAAATATCTCCCTGTGCAAAAGGATATACAGAGGAGCAGAGCAGAAAATAGTGACCTTAGTGATCATGTTCATTAGTGCTATAGTAGCCATATCTGAGCATAGAAGTTTCCTTGAGTTTTAACAACTGAAAATGGATGCCACTTTTTTGGGCTTCTCAGCTTTGTTACATTATAGGTATATTTATACTCAGAATGACAGTTCCCCATAATCAGCTGTTTTATTTAAAATTTAAAGGAACAGTCTATCTGAAATATGCTCTCTCACAATTGTGACAAGCAATGCCTAAGAGTATTGTCACTGAAGGATAAGAGAGGTTTTTGGTTGTTTTTTTTAATGTATTCATTTTATACATAAGCGTTTCATGAGTTCTTCGTAGTAAGTTTTCCTGGTTGCTGTATGAAAAGCCACATAAATACCAAGGAATCTTTTTAGTTCACAAAATGCAGCATGGGAACTCAGCAGCAGGGGTAGCACCTGAAACTATTTTGCTCACTCTGTGCTTCAAAATGGGTGGTGTCCCTTTAAAAACTAGTGTGGAACTCATTCAAAATTGCAAATCTGGCTTTAACATTAAACACTACATGTACAGAGACACCGTTTTGAAATAAGTAGATTTAAAACTGAAAATATAAACAAGATGTAATACTTTTGTAACACTTGCTATTATTGAATAAATTTTACTTCAGTTTTCTGTTCCTCCTGTTTGATAGTTGGATGTGATGATAATCTTATATAACATAATATGCTGTCAGATCATTTTGTCATAAACTTCAGGCTTGACTAGAGGATGCTGTGTGGAAGACATTTATATAGATCATGGAACTAGAACTTTTATTCTCCCCTCAGTCCAATATTGTTCCATGAAAATCTTTCAGTATTTTGTTCAGCTCAGTTTTAAATGATACACGTGATGGGATTTGCAGATTCCCTTAGAAGACTAAATCAGCAGTGAAGTAGATCTTGCGAATACTCTGCTTAAGTTTGCCTTTGTTCATCCTGTTGCTCCTAGTTATGATGCATCTATTTAGAACACATTTAGAATCCTTTTACCCCCCAGGGCAGGGGGTTGGACTCCATGATCTAATAGGTCCTTTCTGACCCTAAAAAAATTAAAATCTATAAACACCCTAAGCCAGGAGTGGGCAAAATACAGCCTACAGGCTAGATTTAGTCTACAGCGCCCCTGAAAAAACCATAGAAAATGTATTAACTGTGTGGCTGCCTGTCAAAGATGATAAGGCAGCGGGGCCCAGGGGCAACTGGTGGCGGAACCCAGCAGCTGAGCAGTAAGGCTGGCCCAGCTCCACCCTGCCCCCAGACTCCACCCCAGCCCCCAACCGGAAGTCTTTGTGGCTTCTGGCCTGGTGACCCTTTGGATGTTCCCTGCCCTCCCTCCATCCAATCTTATCTAACTTTCCACTTGGATGGGGGGGAGTGGGGGGTAACGACCGCTGCAATCAGCTAACGCAGTCGGGAAACCACGTGGTGCTG